CTGTTTTAACAGCAGCTGGAGAAAAGAAGAGAGGCGATGGGACAGAAGCGGTGTAACAAATACACAGTACTTCTAAAAGAACAGACATTTCACGTATCAGAAGATCAAACAACTAAAATTCACTAATAATTTTAAAGGTAGTCAGTGAGGCACTTAATACATTACCCCAAGTTTGGAAAGCATTAATTTTTAAAAAAATCAGACTTGGACAAGCAGTAGGTCTTTGTTCTTAAACCAGCCAGTAAATTCCAGCACCAAAGTATCCCCCGCAACTGCTGGCAAATAAACGGGCTTATATCCTTACCATGGACTAATCACGGGTCATTTTGGAGCTCTTAGATGAAGCCCTGAAAAGCACCAACTCGAAATCAGGAGGTCACGTTTGCTGAAATACGTTCATATTAGCACCCAGTACGTGACTCTCACAAACCATGACGTATTTGGGTTCGTTCTCTTCCCTCCCCAGAGCAACAATAAACAGATGGACGTAACATAAGGTGACTTACACGGTGTAAGGACTTTACCAGTATGGGATAACTTGCTGCAGCTTTCCTGAGTATTTGGCATATCAGCAAAACCAAAAATGCAAGGGAGAATGCGTATCTTCTCCGAAGAGCTCAAAAGGTAAACTACTTGGCCAGCTAACAAGCTTTCTACACCTTTCACAACAACTGGATTAATATCTAGCTGGCTGGACCAGTTATACAACTTCCCAGATGGTGTCTTATACAGTAGAAACCACTGGTTTTTACGACTTTTTTTAACAGCAATTCATTTTCTCATTTACAGAAGAGTTCTAAAGTGCTGTTTGAATGAACTGGCTAGAAGAAGAGACTTGATCAATAAAGAACTTGCATATTCTTCTTTAACAAGGTTTACTTTAAAGTTATCTGTATTCCATGATCAGAAGGTAGTAAATTACAGGACAGAACCTCATTCCCATGGTAGTAAAAGAATGTTGAATCTTAGTCACTGAATCAATTCTGCATCAACATAAAATCCCTCAAGTGTGGGCTGTTTAGAGTGAATTCTACTACCCATCTAGCAGCCATGCTAACAGCATCCTCTGTAGACAGAACGCGGCATAAAGCTTTTGAGCAGCTGCTCCTTCCACAGGAATGAATCAAAGACAACACGTTCTGCTAGCGGTGTTCTTCGCACGCCAGGATTTACAGCTACGAGGCACCCAAGTATAACACACTACTGCAATGAAACTAGAGTTGGAACAGGTATAAAGGGTTAACGCAATAAAGAAAATATGGTTGCTTTTTATATCACCTCACCAGTGCATACATTCAACTGCTACGGAGGCATTCTCATAAATTTTGTCATCAGTTATCTGGTTGGGGTCTTTTTTCCTCCCGCCTCATACCTGAAAGCTACAATTAATATTTACCCAAGATATAATTAACTCCAAACACTGATGGATTTGGATGCATCTTGCTCTGCAATCTAAGCAGATACACAGAGAAATTAGTCTCTGCAGGCATTTGCGAGTCCACACTTAGAACTTTAACTGTTTAATCACCTTTGCAGAACAACTTCAATGACTGCCTTTCCACACCTGCTAAGTGCCTGCTAACCATTAAGATGATTTTAGAAGCTTCCGACTATCATTTTTCATGCACAAATACTTCATTCTACTGAAATGAATATTTAATTAATACTTTATTCATTTTTCAATGAAAAAAATCTGGCTAATTTTGTATAATTTTTTCAGTAGGCAGCAAACCACTTTCACACTGAGGACAGCCTTTGAAGTGTTATGCCATGACTACATTTCATAATGGCAAAAAGACCCTCTCTGCAAACCTGCTTCCGAAAGAAACAGCAGGGGAACAAAAAGCATTTGGAGAACCCTACAGACAAAAAAATTAGTTTTGAAACTGTTAAAGTCATTAGCATATTCATGAAAGTTGAGTGTTCTACTTACTAGGTCATTCATATTGGTCTGACTGGCTGGATGAATTTCTTCCAAGAACTCTAGCACATAGAATGTGTATCTGTCCATAAGATGAACGCCAATCCCAAGATCGGGTTGATGCTTAAAAACAACACACAGCAGTTACTGGGTAGTTGCAGGAGAGAACTCAGTATTTAGGAGAGGGAACAGAATGTAATAGCGGGTTACAAAAGCTAAGCATAATGGGGTTTTGTTCTCACGCAAATTACGCAAATAAAATGACCAGCTGTGAAGAAATGTATTGCTGACAAGCTGAATAATGCAGTTTATCTTCATTTTTCTGTATTACATCCTGGTCATCTCCATGTTTGCCAAAAAGCAGGGAAGCCCTTCTTCTTAATGGTTCCGTACAGATTTGTGGGCTGCCCCAAGCTGCTTTAGACTTGGAAAACAGGGCCGGGAGGGACAGCGTATCCTACAGCACTGTGCGGGTTCAGGTAATCCTGCCCTGCTGGGTGTGGTCGGGCTAGGATCTCCCTCCTGTCACTCCTTCTGAAATTCAGCTGTGATGTAATTACAGCAGGTGACAGGTAGTGGGTATTTTTTTTGTATATCAAGTGTAAGAAGTCCTAGATTAAATATTCCCCACACGTCTCTCAGCAGTCTTCCCATAACATTTCTTCCTATCCTAGGCAACACATAAATTGGCCAGCAAGCACTGAAATCCATCATTAGCCTGCTTCTTTGGGACAGTGCACAAAAACAAGCAGGAAAAGTACAGCCACAAGTTTTGCCAAAACCACACTGTGTAACTAAATACCTTACACATTCAGCAATTACAAGGGAAATTTTTAGTTAAAAGTCAACAAGACCTGTGCTTTTAACTCGGGCATTCTGAAAACTGTCTTCAGGATCACAACAATCTACTTACTGATAAAGAATCTTCTCCCACTTGGCTGCTAGCCAAGGCAATTATATTGGGTGAATAAAATCGCTCATACATGGATGCTCCTTGACAAGTATCAATAATAAACAACAATTCGTTGTACCTGAAAGAAATGAGACATCCTGCTTACCCAGCGCTCTTTACACAACACACACACACTCTGCTTTTTAGCGGCCAGGACCGCTGCTAGGAACCCAAGGAACTGATGCAAGATGCAAGTTTAGTCAAAGCAACGCATCTGAGCAGCTGTAACTGCAGGAAGCTGAAAATAAAAATCAAAGCTCTTCTTTCTGAATGCAAACTTTCATGCAATTTTATGGACAACAGACAGCATCACTGCTGAAGGTAAGCAAGGTCTACCGGTAAGACTTCATGCACACTCATGAAATGCAGCATTTAACCTCTAAATAATGCTTTTTTCTTACCTTCTTTTCTGCCACATTTGTTCAAAGGCATCAGCAAGTTCTACATTTGTGATTTCTTCAGAATCTTGAAATTTTAGGAAACCATTTCCACCATGGCCTGACAGAAAAACCAGAAGTTAGGCAAGTGTGTAGGTTAAAGGAAGATGTTCAGCACAGCTGACTATTTAAAAAAAAAAAAAAAAAAAAAAAGGCAAGCACAATGCTCTTTCCCCAAACAGAATCCAGCAAAAGAAAGTATTAGTAGAGCAAGAACAGTACACATACATTGTCTAAACTGGAAACTATATTCACCAAGGACTGCCTTACAGCTCTTGTTCACCCTTTCGGTTGTTTGGACTCCTGATGGGATTTCATGCTCTCAAACAGGCTCAGCCAACTGAACAACGAGCATCGATAAATTGTATGCAGAAACCTGTATTTACCTGTCATATATATTAGAATATTGCTTCTGTCATCAGAAAGAAGACGTTTAGATCGCGGCGTGCTTGGTGGGATTCTTCCCGTTAACACACGCAAGAAGTTTTCGACGGTCACCTGTGAGCAGAAGCAGGAAGAAATTTTCTCAAGAGAACAATACCAACAGCTCTAAGGTGAGTTACATAAACCAGATAATGAACACTGAAACACGCAGTGTATCTAACCAAACGTAAGGCTGCACGGTATAAACTGCACGAAGATACCTTCTGTTTAACGCCCTACTGCGGGCTCACAACTGCACAGTACTTTTTACTCCAGCGCACTAACATCAGCCTGCTGCTTTATTACATCCAGTAAGTCTACTGCCATTGTGATTTCCAAATACGCTTTCACTGCTCTGAAAACCTGTCAGCATGCAGCTTTGTTCTGCCAAAGCTGCTCACGTACTCACAAAACGCTCCAACATTACTGTGTTCCTACAGAAAAACAGTTTAAATTCCCTCTGCAACTCAGGAAAGGAAAAACGGTATCAACTTCAACCACTTAAGTCTTTGAGTGATCAGGTAAGACCCATCTGGACAGTGATTTTAAAACATCCTATAAATCCCCACTTCCTCTTCATGAAGATGTACACAGCTCAAATGCTAGCAACAAATCCATACTCAGCACCAAACATGACAAAAAGAACATATCTCTGTTTCAGTCTTGTCTCTTCACTTCTTTATACAGGGCTCCAGAGAAATAAAACATCTACTGTACACTTAAATATGCTCCTATAAACCTTTAGCGATGACTATGTAGCACTATTAAACCATGAACTTGTCCAATTTAAGATCAACTGGTAAAGACACTGTCTGTTTGAAGAAATATTGCACAAAACTGAAAAGGTGACAGAACACAAATCTATATATAGTCATCGCTTTCCAGTAATGATTAGGCTACAGCTTTTGTTTTATTCTGATAAAAGCATATGCTTAGGATTAGACATTTAAGTAGGTCTCCCTAATAAACCTTTCACTCGCACGCGAAAAGTTTCACAGTGGTGTTCAGTGCTTCCAAAGAAGAGAAATTTCAGTAATATGTATAACATTAAGTAATAATAGGACTAATAAAATTCCTAGCACATACAAGGAGTTACATATATTCTTTTAACTGTGGAGATTCCATTATCTAAACCAGACAATACACAACATGTTTCTATTATAATAAACTGCAAATACAAAACCAAGCGTCAAGGGGCGGAGGTGTGTGTGTCCCAAATCTACCAGCTGATAATAAAGGCCCATCCCAAACCCAGTAAGGTGAACAGAAAGACTTCTTCGGACTTTACAGACGTTGTATAAATCTTTAAATCAACATTAAAAACAAAGACCCAGTGATTTAATCAAAGTGCAGTCACCTCATAGCTTCTGTAATCCACTTCCACATCGTCTCCATAGACATTTAGCTCCATGTTTTTATGACTAAACACAGTAGCTGGTTTGGGATTTCTGGGATTACACGCCATATCATCTGCCAGCATCAGGACAATGTGACTACAGAAAAGAAGACAAAAACATTTCAGCCATTCTACTTTCAGGTAACACTCAAACAGAAATTAGAAGAACACTGTCCCGCGATTACAACAATAGCTTATAACATTAAGAAGATTCCTGGACTTGTAAGTGAAACTGCTTAGTTATACCCTATTTCCTTATGGACATCCTCACTCTTATAAAGGTACCACACACGGAAATGCAGTTAGGTTTTATGTATGTACAGGATTAAGTTGGCCAAAGATGAGCACAAGAGCAATCAACATTTGCAGCTTCACGATACACACTTGCCTGGACCCAGGCTGGCAAAACTCTGTGTATAAAATCTGGAGATTTTTATGGGGTACTAAATCATTTCCTGCAGCTCCACGGCAGAAACACCAGCCTGTTTGCACCTTCTCAAGCAGATCAATTAAAAACATTGTGATAATTTTTTATTAAGTTTGAGAAGCTCCTGAACATTTCTCAAAACATTATACTACATCTGATATGCTACTCTATGATTACTTGTGTTAAAGGATTTTCCTGGAGAACACAAGAGTGCTGACACCAGACATTCTGCCTTCTTCGTAGTACCAAGAAAAAACAAACAACCCAGCATTTCATAGTACCAAGATAAAAAACCCAGCACGTTATAAAGCTGTTCCAACCTGAATGCAGCCAAAGACTCACGTTTCACCTGGCAGGGTCTGTTTTGGGTCAAAATATGAAACAATAAGTAGTCACTGGAGACTGTTAGCTCTAGGAAGAGTGTGCCAGAGATGTCTGGAACAAGGTGAAGTCAGGCCTTTCCTTGGATAACCCTGCCTGGGATCTAGTTTCTCCTGGACTGTGATCTTTGTGTTCTCCCAACAATGCTTACAAAAGGAAAGCTCTGTGTCCTGCTGCGGTGGGTTTGTGTCTGACGGGGTTTTGGAAGCAGGGCAGGGGGCTATGCAGGTGGCTCCTGTAAGAGGCTTCTAGAAGCTGACCGAGCTCCAATTCAGACCAGTCTCTGGCCAAGGCCAGGCCAAGCAGCACCTCTGCGAACAACCCTGTGTAAAAGAGGAAAAAGTGCTGGGGAAGGTCTTTGTGAGCGGAGGAGAGGAGGGGGACATGAGACACAGCCCTGCCAGCACCCAGGTCAGTGAGGAAGGAGCGGGGGGCTGTGCCAGAGCAGAGGTTCCCCTGCAGCCCTTGGAGCCCAGCGGTGGCCCAGCCATGGCCCTGCAGCCCACGGAGGG